GTCCGAAAAATTGTCTTTCCGCGTTAATGCACACGCACGAAGGGCTGCTCGTACACCTGTCATATTGACGCGTTGCAAAGTGCGGTGTGGGTGGGGGGAACAAGCAAGGTGATTAACGCATGTACTCGCATTGGCTTACCCTCTCCGCTTCGTTCAATGCGCCGTTTTAGCCAAATGTGTATGTTTTAGCCGAAATTGTTTGCGTGGCTGCCGAAAATTGTGTGTGGATTTATACGACGCACTTAAGGAGGCGGCGGCGTTGGCGTCGGCGTCGCAAGCTGGTGGGAGAAGTAAATTACAGTGAATTGGAAATTTTTTGTTTGTTGCAAATGTCCATTTTGTCCATTTCTTATATGTGTGTTTGGCCCATAGATAGTTGGACACGAAATGTCATTAGTTAGTGATTGTCGGCGCTGTTTATAGATTTGGTGCGGTGGCAATTGCGGCAGATGTGGTGTTGGTGGTGTGCGTGTGTTAGTGATGCCGCAGTGTTCTTGGCGTCAATTAATAATTCATGCATGACACACATGTTGGTCTTCAATTTGTGGTTCGGGCACCCCAAAGCAATGCTATTACACCCCGAGCCACTTTAACTCGCTTTAGAAGTTTGGCGTTTTTTAGTTAAGTTTTTTTATAACTGTTGTTCAGTTTTATGGCGTAGCAAAAGTATAACTACAGTTTTTATAGAATTCTTCACCGCCTCGTAAACAAATTGGTACTACTGGCTTCAAGCCATCTCCGAATAGTTGATTAGTTCCATTTCTAGCATAACCATGGAGGTTTAAGCTTGCCAGCCGAAGACAGTTATGCTTCGAAACCCCAGTTTTAACACAATTTTTTATTAAGTAGTCTTAATTATAGTTTTAGCTCATGCCTAACTAACATATTATCTCACAAACTGAAAAATTACTCCAATTATAAAGAGCATGCAGCAGAGATCGATCTAATTGAACCCAGGAACATGCATGGAATTATGGCAATCAATTAAATTGTGAAAGTCATTGAGAAATATATGATTCCATATTTTAAGTTCAAGGTTTAAGGTTTAATGAAGCCATATAATGACATGAAATTAAATTTATGATTATGCCATCATAATACTTGTATGTAGTACAAAAGAAGTAACGTTTTCACGTTAAGCTAAGTTTTGAAGGCTTAGAAGAAGAGAAAAAAAACCGAGCGCATAACGCATAAGAGAGAACTAGAAGAGAAACCGACCATTGTTGTAGCTGCTTGTGGTGACACTGGAAAGATCAAGAAGAGAGGGGCATACATTCTTTTGGGATATTGGATTTGTAACTACAAACGAAAAGAAAAAAATGGTTGTCTATATTTTTTTTTACTTGTAGCTAAGTTCTTGCCTCTAAAAATAAATAAAATATCACAAGACTTGAAACGTTTCAATTTGAACTGAAATGATAATATGTGAGACCAAAAACTATCAAAAGTGTGTTATAATTTTTACTTCTATTTTTAAATATTATTCATATCTATGTTATAATATAATATTATATAAATATATTTTCTATTATTAGGGTACGAGTTTTGTCAAGCGTCTCTATGGGCTGTGAAGGCTATGGGTACAAGCTATATTGTACTCTCTCTCACTTTCGTCTTACTGTTTACTGTTTATCGATTCAAACAGCGTTAGATCAGCGAAATAACAGTTCTTGACCGCTTGAAATTATGGTAAATTTGAGTAATGTGGAACTGGCTGTCGTGGGAATTGCGCATTTCCGCCTACTCCTGGTTGGACCAGCCATCAATAAGAGAGTAGTAAATAAATAGAAATGTTGTCAGTATATTGATCATTAGTTTACAGAACGCAATTACTTGATCACTAGGTACTTTTTATGAGTAGGTGGGTCAAAAAAGATACGGACATTGGAGTTAATGATAGTGTAGTAAAGGAAGTGTTTTATATTTTACTATGCGGTTAGATATACTCGTATATATATATGTAATAGGGTGGTTCAAAAGAAATTGTGTTTTTTTGGCAAAAAAAAAAATTTTATATACAAGTATATACAGTATGGTGGTTTAAAAAATAATGTTTTTTTTCGCTTGATACTCTGAAAAATTGCTTGATAGACATCTCTTGGGAAGGCTCTCCAAGTATGAGCTCTTAATTGTAACGGGAAGGTTCTACGACTAACGGTTTTTATTTTTTTCAGATTATCAGATAACTCATAACTCGCTTTCAGCTACTATTTTATTCCCTTTTTATTTTTTATTTTTTGTTTTTAGTGTTTTCATTTGATATTTATAATTTAAAATGATGTTTTTTCATTGGGTTATAATATTCAAGAGAAAAAAATTTGATTTAAAATAGTCAAACTTCAATCGTTGATATCTTTTAAGCGGTGAGGTTTACGAAAGAACCGTAAGAGACCATTTTGTGGAGCTTTCAACAAAGTCCAAAAAAAAGAATATGTTGGCAAGTAGTTGGAAGCGAGGTATTAATTTTTTGCTCTGATATCTGATGATAGGAACTTAATAGAAAACCGTTAGGCGGAGAAACTTCCCGTTACAATTAAGAGCATATACTTCGAGAGCCTTCCCAAGAGGTGTCTATCAACCAACTTTTCAGAGTACCAAGCGAAAAAAAAACATTCTTTTATTTTAAGCCACCCTAATATATATGTAGAAATGTACTGCTATAAATCCCTGACGTAGAAGTTACCAATTCTTAAATGGCACTCGTTAAGCGGTGAGAGATTGTTCGACTGACTTTTGAGTGTAACACACACACATCGTATTTTTTTTTTGTTATAAATAATAGAAGTGCGGATGAGTGATGCCGATTTAGGACAATGACAGTGTGAGGTATGTACGAGTACATATACTTTATATATAGAATTTCCAAAAAAAATAAAAAAAAAATAAAAAATTGAAGTGGAACAAAAAGTGACCATTAAGAGCACTTATTAAGTAAATATGCGTACCCAAATGCGGGAATCAATATGGTCAATAGCACCACGTTGACATGAAACTCTATCATTAAATAGTCAACATTTCGGGTTTTGGTTTTTCGGCGGGCCTTTGGCAGCTTGTCGCAGGTGGGCGTCGTTGGCAATGCGCATCAGGCGTTCATGCATTATTAAAAAGTTCTGGCAATTTGCTAAGTACATAGTAGTTAGCTTATATTTTGACAAAAGCTACAACTATTTGGCTATAGCACTTATGGCTAATGAATAGTAAAACAACAAATCATTTGCTTATAACCAAAACAACCAAAAAAAAAAAATATATAAAAATTTCCTTTTCGGCTAAAAGTCTACACCGTTTCTACGCAGTTCGATTCGCTAGGCTTTGGAAATATGCTTGTAAGTGCAATGTTTTATGCAATCATTGTGACAAATACACTGCAGTTTCTCCAATTTTATTTAGCATATTTAGAAAGATCCGATTTAGATCGCATATGCACAGTTTTGTTCAATAATTTTATACCCTCGTCCCTATTGTCAAAACACCGAGACAGCCGATTTTCACTAGCGTCTCTTAAGGCAAGTTTTCACCAGCAAAATTATACGCTATAGGCAGGAACAGATAGCAATCACTTGGTGCCAGATCCGTACTTTAAGGTGGATGCCTACGAGCCTCCCAACCAAGCTTTTGGCGCTTCTGGTGGGTCACTATCGATGTGTGTGGTCTTTGTTGTTCTGATGGAACGCAATTTCTCTCCTATTGATCAAAGCTGGCCACTTCTAGGCGATTGCTTCCTTCAGACGGTTCAATTGTTGACGGTATAGCTCTGAATTAAGAGTTTGGCCGTAGGGGAGCAGCTCATAGTACATAGATGGATTCCCTGCCAGTCCCACCATACACATAGCAAAACCTTTCTGACCGTCAATCTTGTCGGTGTTTCAATGTTAGTTTTTTATCAGAAAATAGCTAATATAGCTTAACATAAGCAATAGTGCCTGTTCACCCACGAATTACTTTGATGAAACTTTGAAATTGCCTGGTAATTTCTTAACCCAACTAATTGTGCTGCAATCAAATTGTTTGAAAGATCGTCATCTGATAAGAAGTGATTTGTTATGTCAGTTTTTTTACCGCCTTACTTTAATTGTATCACTAACGATCACGTCAATTAGTGGGCTAAATAAGTGCCCATGTAACATAACATACTCGTTCAAATTTAATGTCTGTTTGTATGGCAAGCTTTTGTTTACTTTTACAGTTTGAAAGAAGACCTTTAATCAACTTTATAAGTATGTATTTGTCTTTTAATGTTCACAAAATAGAACTCAGGACATCATCTTAGCTTTTTAAAAAAATTGTAACTTTTTGTGTTTCTGCGCTTGTTTGGTTTGGGAAAAGCAATCAATTGTAGATTTAGATTTCTAGTATTCGAAAACTCAAAGAAGTCTTTCTAAGAAAACATATTCACATTTGCAATAGAAAACTCTATTGAGAAGGTCAAGCGTCCCACTATCAAATCTTTATAGAAATATTGAAGAACCTTTACAACAAATGCTTTACTTTACATTAAGATTATGTCGAAGGCTAAGTTCATATTTTCATAAAAGAAAACTTAATTTCAACATAAGATCAAGACTGTTCAGACCATATAGTATGTACATACCTACATACACCCACTAACAGTTGTAATTTTTAGAAATGCCGAAAAAAAGTAAATTTTTCAGGCATTTTTCTGAGAAGCCTATAAATTTATTGAACTAAAAATTGATACACATATTATGGTATATTGTAGTTATATTTTAAGACTTAGTACTTGTAAAAATATTTATTTGGAAAAGAGCTACAGCGGATCTCCGGGAGCTCTTCTCAAAAAAGACGTTTTGCGGTATACCTATATCTGCACTATATCTTTGAACTGGATTATCTGAAATTAAAAAACCAAACTTATTTGGTTAAATCTAGTAATTGGTCGAAGGAATAGGAAAAATAAAACTTTTTGACAAAATGGCGGTTTCTCAAAAATAAATCGATTTTTCACCGAAATTTCGGTCTTAAATTGTTTATGATGTTTATAAAAACAAAAATATTTATAGGAGAGAAAAAATCTTCGATTTATTACTAAAAATAATTTAAGAAGCTTGTGTTAATACTTGAGTTGTTACAACACAATAAAACCTAAAACACACGTGTAACATAGAAAGTCAAAAAATTGTTTCATAGAAAAGTTATGCAGAACCATGAAGAGATGTGTAGCCACAGACCATCAAAAGCTAATGATTTATAGAATGGAATAACTATAACTGTATGTCATCAAATTTGATTGCAACAATTTCCTATTTTCAAGTATCTACATACGTATGTTGCCTAAGTCAATATGGCTTGTTAAATAAAACCAAATATATGTATGTATATAGTATACCTATCTATATTTTTGACAACAATTATTTATATTATCCACGTGTCACATATCAAGCGACACGTGTAAGACATTTTTTGTCAAAAGCAAACATAATCAATCAATAGAATCAAGAGAAATATGTTTTGGCTTATTCGATACATCTTCTTTGGAGTGTGTTAAAGCCAAGCTAAGAATAATATATACAACAACAATGGGAGCAAACACAAAGAGCGAATCAACAGAGCACGGTTACTCTCAGCGCTGAATATCCATAGAGCGGCTTGCCGGTTTGAGCGCGTCTCAAAAGCTGTTCATATGTGTCGACTTCATTACTTTACTCAGTAAAGGCAACACGTTCGCAAGTACACAACCTCACACAGGTACAGTATTACAAAAATATATGTATATGTATGTGTGTTTATTATGTTTAGCTGGAAACTAGATACTGACGTGGAAATCAGCTTTTGCCAGAAGTCATTCAACCTGCCGGCGAGCGCTTACATCTATGTACATGTGTATTTCAGAGAGGCAATGGCAAGGTAATTTTTTATATACATTTGTAAGCTAGTAAATTTTGCAGCTGAGTAACTGAAAGCAATAACAACAAGCAGATAATAAACAACAAATATTCTAGCGCTTAAATGATCAGCATTCAGAGAGAATGAAATGAAAAGTCAATGTTAAAATGTTATATAAAAATGCAAATAAAATAGATAAATGACCATAAAAACACCGGTGCGCTCCATTACATATGTGTGTGTCGCAATGTATGCGACGTGCGGCTGTGTGTGGCATGCTGTTGACGCTCTGAAGGGCGCGCGGGAAGTTTAGTGAGCACAGCTGTGCGGTGGTTATAGCAACAGCTCAAGCCACCTTTCTTTTTCAGAGCGTATTTATTCAGTAAGAAAAATACGCCGGCAGTGATAGGGCGACTAAAAGAACTACTACAGCTATAGTCAGCTAAAACCACTTGCCATACAATTGATAGAATATACTAGAGTTTCATTTTTGTATAAAGTAAACTAGTAAAAGACTACCACAATGCAAGTAACAACAAAGTACCTGAAATTCGCACAGCTTCTTGCCAGTATTGTGCTTGTGGCTTATACCCCTACAGCTGTGGCCAGTTCATGCGCCGGCTGCGTGGATCTGGATGAGCTGAACTTCGATCAGACGATCGAGCGGTTTCCCTACGCACTCGTCAAATTCGATATTGCCTTTCCGTATGGCGATAAACATGAGGCTTTCGCGGCATTCTCCAAAATTGCACACAAAGTTACCAAGGAGCTGCTTGTGGCCACTGTCGGCATCAAAGATTATGGCGAGAATGAAAACAAAGAGCTGGGACTGCGATTTAAGGTGGACGATAAAAACTTCCCCGGTATTTTGCTTTTCAAGCATGGCAAGGTGGATGAGTTTGAGCGCTTTCCCGCACACTTGGATGTGACATTGGACAATTTGAAGCAATTCGTAACGCAGCACACGGATTTGTATATCGGACGCGATGGTTGCCTGAAGGACTTTGAAGAATTAGTCAAGAAATATGCCAACAAAGTGGATGCCGAACAAGTGGCGTTAATTGCAAAAGCGGAGCAAATGTTGCAAAGTTTAGAAGGCGATGAGACGAAAACTGCGAGCGCCAAAGCGTATCTGATTTATATGCGAAAAATCAATGAGAAGGGTTACGATTATGTGGAGGATGAGACCAAGCGATTGCAACGTCTGAAGGCTGGCAAGGTGACGGATGCCAAGAAATTGGAATTGCAGCAAAAACTCAATATACTCGAGGCATTTCGTGTGACCAAGCTGACGAAAGTGAAGAGCAGCGATGAGCTCTAAATGGAATCTGGGCAGACGATTGTAGAAGACGCAATAAGCATATAAAAATTAATTGAAGTGAAGTGCTTCGAAATCAAGTACAAGTACAGAGATACATACATATGTACATACAAAAACAACAAATACGAAATGTTGATATTTAAGTGTGTGTGACGGGACAAAAGCGGCAATAACGCAACAATTTAAGGGCAAAAGGGGACTACAAAGCGAAACTATGAGCTTCGATTAAATTATATTAGTTAATGCATATATATACAGAGCTTACATTTATTTTCGTTTCATTTACTAAATTATTTGTTAGATTTTTATAAATAAACTCGATGTATGTATGTATGTATGTGTATTTGTGTTCTTCAATTTTTTGTTGGTAACCCCCTGGTTTGTTGTGCTGCGAGCTTGTTTGAATTCTGTCATGGTAACCAGTTTTTAGTACATAGCCGCGACTGGCAATAAACGCGAACAAAAAATTCGGCAATCCGGCAATACTGAGCTGTCATAAAAGTTTGCGCGGTCAGTAGGCTACAAATTATAGCTTTCTTATGGTAACTCACAAAAATAACCACGTCTGCATTCGATACAATATATTTGAAAAAATAAGCGTTAACTTCGACTGCACCAAAGCTACAAGTATAATACCGTTCATAGGTGTATTTTTTTGGCATAAAAATGTGTAAAATGATATTTATCTTGATTTCGCTCAGTCATTTTGTATGGCAGCTATATGCTATAGTAGTCCGATCTGAACAATTTCTTCGGAGATTGTAGCGATATCTTGTATAAAAGTCTCTGCTAAATTTCTTGATGATACCTCGTCAAATAGACACGTTTTCCATACAAGCACTTGATACCGCTTGTTCAGCTTGCATAACAGCTACATATATGCTGTAGTTGTCGGATATCGACAATTTCGACAAATGAGCAATGTTAAAGGGACAAGGTCTAAATATCAGATCATAACTCCAAAACTGAGCGACTAGTTCGTATATATACAGACAGAGGGATATGGCTAAATTGACTCAGCCATGTTGATCATTTGTCTATATACTTTATTGTGTCTCCGACGTTTCCTTTTTTTCCAACATCGTGGCAAACTTAATATAATTCAGGGTATAATATTATATGTATAATACACACCAAATATTCATTAAGGTAGCTTAGCTTTCTGAGAAAATTATAAAAATAACCGGCAGACTTCTTGGATTCACCATATATGAACGCCAAAAACGATAATTCCAACATTTTTTTTTGAACTTCGTTAATGTTATGTTTGTAAACCCTACTGATGATAAGGCTGATTTGCTGACTGCGTACTTCGCCCCACCTACACAACACTATAGACGCAATTAGCCTAAAGAATATAATTTGTCGACTCATTAAGGGAAGAAAAGCGTCAAGGTCCAAAAATTGCTTAACTTTAAAAAAAAAATGAATATAATAAAAATCAAGCGCTCAAATCTAGTATTATGTTTATATGTTGTGCGAAACGTTTATATTTTGTTTTAGTGATGAAAAGCGAATCGGTAATTCTTAGCTGCTGGAATCATACTAAATGTTGATTCAGAGCAAAACTAGTTTTACATAATTTCAGAAGATGACTTCTTTGATAAACAAGCTGGTATGCTAAATTTAACTTAGATAAGATGAAGAAATCTCAAAATGATTCACTTTCTTAATTCCCAGCAACTGGACCATTATAATTCTAAACTTATGCAATAGTTATTGAAAAATTTAGAATTTGGCGTATATAGATTATATTAGAATTTAAGTACTTTTTGCTTAAAAAAAATTAATAATTTGTAAATATCTATAACGGCTTGATAAAATAAAATTAGGCCACTTTGAAGTAATTTAGCGACAAAAATCTATATCTGGTACTTGAACTGCTAAATTTAAATGTATTAGTTAATTCTAAAACTCTAAGATAAGCTTTTGCATTTTTTGTTTTTATAATTTTTTGATTAGTAAAAAAAACCCAGACTATGAAATAGACACTTTTTTCCGAACATCGTGTACTTTGTTCGATGTGTTACACTATTGGAATAAGAGGAGAAAGTAGATTACGTCCATATTTTTAAATTTTATATGACTACTCTCTATAATTAACAGTTATATTTTTCAATATTTCAAACTTCGAAATTCGAAGTCGATTTTGGGCGCTTACTTCGAAAAGCAAATAAATTGAGCAATCGCTCGAAAAATTTTTTTAGTCCAATACACTCTCCAGTGTTCTATAGTGAAATAATTAGTTAATATGATTCCTAAAATCTGTTCTTAAAGCTAAGGTTAGTTCATAATTAAATTGTATGCATATTCTAAACTAAACCAAACGAACTTATCTACGTTGCATTAATTTCGTGGCATTAAAACAGTTATTTTTTCGTATTAAATACTTCAATGCATTTGTGGTTGTTGTCTTATTTGTTTTTACCGCACATGCACTGCTTTTGCCAGGCTACATAAACGCGCCTGAGAGTATGCAATACTATGTGCGTAAAATTGTTTAAAAACGATGGCACTGCATCACCCTGTAGAAAGTGATCAAGCGGAAGTGGTGCGATCATATATGCGTCATTAAAATGAGGTTAGCGACGGAAATCAAAAGCAAATATTTTCTACTGATGCCTTTTCCATCCTAATCATATACATATGTATTTACCCGCGATTGTCGAATTCATCAGGTTATATAAAATTATGTCTTTAAATGAGTTGATATTAAAAATACAGAATATGTAAAAATATGTAGTAAAACGTTTCAAATACTTTTTTGTTAAACGATCTTTTTTTTTGTAAAGAAAAAATTTTATGCGTAGAACTATATACGCTCGACTGCCTTAAAATATATATTATTATATTTCCGATATTCAATGAGGAGAGTTATTACTTTTAGGCATATTCCTAACATCCTAGGGCACAATAGACTCTGGGTCGCAGTGCAAACCTCATAGTTATTCTAGGCATATTTTATAAGATAGTTCCTAAGTCAAAAATCATATACTTTAAATGACGCGGATATATTGTGTTAACAGAAGTATGATACATAAACTCATGATCACATTTCGAAATTTTTTCGACGGATATCAAATATAAGGTTTAGTAAAAACAAAGACAAGCTTTTTATATATAGAAGGCATTAGTAAACTGCATATATAAAAAGTTGTAGTGACTCGGCAGCAGCTCCTTGCTTCGGAGGTTCTTACGCATGCACCATATAGTCCGAACTTGGCAATAACTGATTACTAACGGTTGCTGTCTATGACGTATGATTCAAGAGAAGCTTGTAAAGATCGACTGACCCAGTTTTTTGCCAATAAGGATGAGGGTTTCCATGAGAGTGACATTATGAAATTATCTTCAAAATAAATCTGATCATTTCAAACATGTTAAATAAATGCTTAATTTTAATGCAAAAATAAAGGCTTTTTTTACTAGACCTTGGTATGTACCATATACATATGTATCTAAATACTGAACATTACACTTGCATAGTTATTAGGTCAATGACGGCCAGTAGTATTATCTGTCCCTCAGGGGCGTGTATTTGAAATTTAGACACTCACTCACTTACTTCACTCAGCTAAGGAGTAATCCTTATTGTGGTTCGGGATCGTAATTAAGCAACTAAAAAGGTATTGTATAATTTATTTCACGGAATATTTGAATTATTTACAATAACAACAAAGATTAATGGTTCATATTTTCGAACTTTATTCTACACTGCTCACGTGTTTGGCGTATTCTAATTATCACGGATTAACCATAAAATCTATTGAACTCCTACTCTTGCTATTTCTATATAAATCGAATACGGTTTTCATTGACATCATTTATTATATTGGATATCTATTTAAATGCATGCTTATATAATGCATGAACAACTGTACTACATCATACGTCGCAGCGAACTCGACGAACGTTTTATATAAAAAAGTAATTACGAACAAACGTCATTAAAAGCATTTGTGTGTTGTATATGCAACTTCATAGTGAATGCTGTTGAGACGTCAAACTTGTTTTTAGCAAAAACCAACAAAAAAAAAACAAAAACAAGAAAAAACGTTAACTACGATTGCACCGCAGCTATAATATCCTTCACAAACACAAAATATTCCCTACAAGCAACAGATTTTGATCGGTTAGTTTGTATGGCAGTCATATGCAATAGTGATCCGATCTTCGTTGACTACAACATTGCTTTGGCTAATAAATTTCATGAAGATATCTCGTCAAATAATAAAGCTTGCCATACAAAGACTTGATTCCGATCGTTGAATTTGTATGCCAGCTATATGCTATAGTGGTCTGATAACAGCAATTTCTACAAATTAGCAGCCCCTTGTTAAGAAAAAGAACGTGTGTAAAGTTTCAGCTGGATATCTCAAAACCTGAGGGACTAGTTTGTATATACAGACGGACGGACAGACAGACATAGCTAAATCAACACAGCTCGTCATGCTGATCATTTATATATATATATTTTATAAGGTCTCCGACTTTTCCTTTTAGTTGTTACAAACTTTGTGTCAAACTTAATATGCCCCGTTTAGGGTATAAAAAACAAAAAAAAAACTGAATAGAAGCGACGGAATGGAAAAATCAAACACACCAGCAGAGAAAGGAAAACAAGTGTTAAGCAATGGCAATAAATCTACCTAATCATCCAATGCCCGACCCAGTGCAATAATGCAAAGTGCATTTCCACGCACACATTTACTCAATGCAACACAGGAAAAACCAACAAAACACACTTGCAACAAAGTTGAAAGATGTGAAAAAAACGCTTATAAAAACACTAACGCTATTTTGGGCTGCTGCAAATGCATTGATGCGAGGCAAATAACGCAAAGTCACTTAAAATTACACAAAAAGTAACAAAAAAAAAAAGGAAAGAAAAAACAACAACAACAAAACAAATAAAAATAAAAAATATTTATTGAAGAAAGTACGAACGTGCAACGAGTGGAAAACGCAGGGAGGAAAATTGCATCCTGTTGCATAAAACACACATAGACAACGTTGCTTGTATAAACACAAGTGCGTTGCAAGAACAAATAAAGACGGTCAGCGCGCCAAGTGGTAAAGTGGCACAGCGAACGAAGTCAAACGCCAATCTGCCCTTATCGCCATTCTCTCATTTTCCCATTTTCCTGCTTCACTCCTGCTTCACCAGTGTGTATTATTTTTGCGCTGCTCGGCTTCTTCGCAGTGTAGGTCTTTTGAGCTCGGCATTTTCCCATCGCCTTGGTCGGTGTCGTGGTCTCAAGTGCGTGTCGCCGCAAAATTTCGTTAGTTTTGTAACGAATTTTTATTTTATTTGTGAAAACAAAAGGGAA